TTTTCAACGGTCTAAATGCTTGGAAGGGGAGGTGGCAAAAGTGTATTGAACTTGATGGTGATTATGTAGAAAAATAAAAATATAACTGATTTAGTATGTGTTTATTTTCTTGGTTAGGCCGAGTACTTTTCAATCCACCCTCGTATTTACGGTAAAAGAATCTTATTAACCATGTAGTGGCGATATAAACTACCCCACATCATCCCGTGGGTGGCTTTACGACAGCGGAAACAGAAACTTTGTTATTCAATATAGATTATAAATAATACTTATTGAAAGTCACTCTTTTGTCTAATTACCATTGGTTCGAAAATAAAACCTCTGTCCTGGGAAGAACCAGCAAGAAACCCAGCGGGACTTTTTTTTAAATTAACAGCTTACAACCATGTAATCACAATTAACCACACAAAACAAATTAGAAATAGCTTAGTAGCGATCACCTTATTCCCAGGGGTTATTATCATCCATAAATTCTTTAATATTATAATAACCCTTTTTATACCAACTTTGTTTAATAAAGTTTTTGAACTTTGAGCAGGTTAATTTTGTATATTTAAAAGACGAAAAAAATACGGAGACGGGCACCAGCGTACTTCTAATAATAACAAAAAAAAACTATGGTTGCCAACCCAAGCTACTATGGCAAATATTACCCCCTATAAGTAACCTAATGGCCTATGTTCTACAATAGACTTTTAATAAGCTCTAATGGTAATGGTAACAGCTATACATTAAACTTTATAACTACTACATTTTTTTCAATGCAGATACATATGCATGTTCTCGCTGATGATCTATAAGGCTTGACGTAATTTTAATGAAGTGTACTCCCAAATACAGAGGTACTTACTTACAAGCCCTGAATGCTCATGTATTATGATTCAGAGGATACAGCCTCAAGTAAATTTAATCACTGTTTTTGTCGAAAAATGACTCCCATCAGCAACCACATATCCAATACACGGTTTTATTTGAATTTGCTCTAGATTGCAACTGTTACACGTGTTCTAACTGGACATAGTTTCTTTAAAAGCTTTCTGTTTCTGTCATGGTGTTACATACATGGTGTTAATGGTGTTTGCGTAAAATAGCAGCTTGATGCTGCTGTGTTTTGCATGGTGAGTGTAGAGAACCGGAGACCCATTTTACTGGAAAAGAGGCATTCCATCTTAATTCTCACGAGTGGCAATGCATATCTGCATTTTGATTCTTTATTGAGGATAAATGTAGATGTCTATGGGTCACAGTAACCACTTACCATCAGGTGGACTGTGTGCTCGTTTGTCAACCTTATTCTATAAAAAAAAACAGTCTAGTGTTATGAGGTAACACACATAAAAAAACGAAAGAAAAACATACAGTCGAATTGAGTACCATCTCCTTTTTGAAGTCTGTATAAAACTATGCAATTAGCCTTTTTGTTCCTACTCAACTCTGTGGAAACTTTTTTTTTGTAATATTTTTCCATGCACCGAAGTCAAAGGGATCTTAGCTCCTACAGCCGTAAACGTGATCAAAATGCTTTCTTTTAATTGATTAAAGTGTTAAAGTAAATTGACTTGCCTTAACGACAACATAGACACGTTTTTTATTTTTACATCTATGGCACAGTATGTTACTACTAATAATAATAATAAGCCTTTAATCGGACAAAAAATAGTATTTCTTTGTTATTCATATATTTTTCTTTTGTTCCATTTTTGTGTATCCGTTTGGCAGGTGGCAAAGGCTTCCTCCAATCTTCTCCATTCTGGCCTTTCTATGGCCACTCTACCCCATGTAATTCCTGCGACTTGTCTGATATCTTCATCCCACCTTCTCTGTGGTCTACCGCTCCTTCTTTTTCCATCCTTTAGGTACCATTGTGTTATTATTTTGCTCCATTTGTCTTTTCCTCTGATCAAGTGGCCTGTCCATTTCCATTTTTGTCTTCTTATTTTTAGAGTTATATCCTGGACCTTAGTTTTGTTTCTGATGCTGCTATTTCTTATTCTGTTCATTCTTTTGATCCATACCATACTCCTTTCCATGGCATGTTGGCATATGGAGTTTGTTTGATATGTTTCTTGTAAAAGCCTCACTTAATGTTTCACTTCCGTATGCCAATACAGGCAGGATGCATGTGTTAAATAGTTTGCTTTTTGTTGAAGTGTGTACATTCTTGTCTTTCATTAAATCTTTTAGGCCCCAGTATTTTTTCCAGCTGTTCGCAATTCTTCTTTCGACTTCTTTATTTATATTATCTTCTGGAGATATCAGTTGACCCAGATATATGTATTCGTCAGCATAGGAGATTTGAGTCTGTTCCACTGTTACAGGATCTTTGTTGCCATTGGCCATGATTTTTGTTTTCTCCGGGTTTAATTTCAATCCGGCCTTTGCACTTTCTGATGCTAGGTAATTAATCATTATGCTTAGATCATCTGGTGTTTTTGCAAATAATACTATATCATTAGCGAATCGTAAGTGCGTTAGCGTGCGGCCATTAATGGTTATGCCTAAATCTCTCCATGCTAGGTTCCTGAAGATCATTTCTAGTACAGCCAGAAAAGCTTTGGTGAGAGGAGGTCCCCCTGTCTAACGCCTTTTTGTATTTGAAACATACTTCCCTTCTTTTCTAGTTGGATACATGCCGAACTGTGTCTATAAATGTTTTTTATAATCCTTATATATTTGTGTTCTAAGTCCTGTTCCTTTAAGGCTTCCCAGATTTTTGAGTGTATCAGAGAATCGAACGCTTTACTATAATCAATAAAGGCTATGTAATATGTAAGCTTACGTTGTAACGCTTAAATTGTAAGTTCAGAGTATTTTTCTATAATTTGCCTTAAGCTATGGATGTGGTCTAGTACCAAGAAGTCCTTGCGGAATCCTGCCTGTTCTATTGGCTGTTGTTCGTCTAATTTCCTTTCTAATCTTTTCAAAATAATCTTTGCAAAGGTCTTTTAAATATTAGACATTAGACTAATGGGCCGGTAGTTTCCAATATCGCTGTGATTCCCTTTCTTGAACAGGAGGATTATGTTGGATTCAGTCCATTGCTTTGGGATGATTTCTGTGTTAATCACGTTGTTGAAAATGTCTGTGAGTATAGGTATAATTAATGCTTTCGTTTGTTTTAGTATATCATTGCTTATGGCGTCTGGCCCTGGAGCTTTATCGTTTTTCAGGGTATCAATAGCTTTTTCCGTTTCTTCCTGCATGATGTAAGGTACAGTTTCGTTCTCTGATAAGTCTATTTCTCTTTCATTTGTGTTGTTTTTGTATAGTTCAGTGTAGTAATCTGTAGCGATCTTAAATATTTCCTGTCTACTAATCTTCTTAGTCCCGTTGTTGTTTTTCATCTTTACAATCTACTCTTTTTTATTAATTAATGCTTTATACGCCTTCTTTATTCCTCCTGTCTGTTTAATATGTCTCTCTATCGTTTCCATCCGTCGTTGTCTGTGTTGTATGTTACTAATAACATCAGTTTAATTCCTCTCATTTTATAATAAATACTAAAAAAGGCACTTCAATTATTTTCTTTGCTAATGTGTTAACACTTTCACTGTCCAGTTTTCAGACATAATAGTAAGACAATAGCAATGACCTATATGTTGTGCATGGGACAGTGAGATGGTTAATATAATGAATGAATAATCTGAAATACTTATAATTCAGTAAACTTACTTGTACACTTCATCAGTGTTCCCAGTAATCACCCAGAAGGATGGACCATCCACATTCAAGATAACTGCAGGATACTCTTGGTCTATTTGAAGTATTGATTGTGCTGGCAAGTTGTAAGTCTCTATTGTGCTCACAGTTTCTGATAACAAAATGTCATTATTATAGTGAGATTGATGGCCAAATACTAAAACGCTAATCAATATTAAGATATCGTTAAGTCTCGTCTCGCATCACAGTCACTTTGACTTAAAGTAATAGAGACATCATGAAACTTAACGTCATCTTAAAATTGAGCAGCTTTTGACACCTTAAAATTATAAAAAGTAAAAGCCGACTTCAAAGAACTAGAAAGAATAAAATAATTTCCTCATAACAGCTTCTGAAGTCTGTGCTAAGACATTATATATATATATATACGAATTAAATCCTCGATTCCACTGAAGGGAAACTCACAACTACTCACAACATCACTACACTTTCCTAGTGACGGATGGTAATCTTCAAACTCTGACAAATCATTTTCATTTTTTACTGGATTCTTAGCGAATTAATTTTACTACTGCTCAATTTGACTATTCGTCAGCGCAATGAAATAAAGTATGAAATAACCAGCCGTGCGAGTCGGACTAGCACACGAAAGTTCCGTACCATCGTAATATACGTTTCTAGGAGGGGACCCTCTTTTGAGTTTTAATTCATTTTTATTATTTGTTGTTATAGCGGCAACAGAAATACACATTCTGTGAAAATTTCAACTGTCTACCTATGACGGATGGACGAACGGGCGGACAGTGGAGGCTAAGTAATAGGGTGCTGTTGGTTACCCTTTGGGTACGGAACCCTAAAAAGCAGCATTTAGGAAACTTCAATTGATAAAGAGTATGAGATATGTTCATTATCTGCTAACCAGTAATCAGGGCACCATAAGGAACTTATTACTATTAACTCTTTGATGTCTCCGTGACTCAGTGGCTTAGCAAGGAGTTGCTGCGCTGAGGGCCGTGGGTTCCCGCGGAACAAGTATTTGTATGACCTACAAATAATTGTACCGGATCTGGATGTTTGTCCTTGTGCAATTTGTGTTTGTAAACTGCCTCCATGATACAGGAGAAAATCCTAGTGTGGTAGTAAAGTTTTTTAAAAACATAAAAAAAATTTACACTAAAAGTGATGAATGATTATTACTTTTTTCAGCACTTTTGTTTTTTTCTGATAAAACTTCCCCAAATCTATAATTAAGTAAAATTTCTCTAAAATCTGAATTATGAATCAGCAAAACTGTTCTCAACAGACTTCAAAAAAAAAAGGAAGTGACTGTATTTTTTTATGTGTGTTACCTCAGAAATTTTTGAAATTTTTGAACCGAATTTGATGATTCTTTTTTACTTGAAAGCTGATCTGATCTGTCTAATCTGACCAGTAGTTTTCGAGTTATCCTTAATAATGCATATTTAATTGATGTTCTCATTTTATTTATATATTGAAGTCGGTTGTACAAAATTTTTAATTTGACCACTTGTAATGTTTACACTCATAACTTGGCTAACCCTACAGTATGTTTCAACAAGCAAATGACCAGCATGGAACCCATGTTTGGAGTGACAGGAAGACTAAGAATTGCAAATTATCAATTTGATGCAGAATTTTGACCTCACCATTGATTTTAGCCGGGGATTTGTTCATATCCTCTACCATTTTACATTGAACCTCCTTCTCCAAAGTTTTATTCTTGACATGAGGCACACTTTCCGATGAGCTTGATGCACTTGAAAATGCAATCAGTACCTGCTCTTCCTTTGGCACTTTCTTACGAATTGGTTTTTCTGATGGGCATAGATTAGGACAAGCTTGAGATGTGGATGGTGCTGGTTCTGTTAATGCATCCATAAGGTTAAATGTTCCATAGATCATTGGAGCCGGTAATGCTCTTGTAGATGTGTCATGGACTGGTGCGAATTCCGTACTGTTAGTTGCTTCTGTAACATAGTGTATGATCATTAAAATCAAAGAATTTCCTATAAAGTTTATTGACCAAATCGGCGATATATTGAAAATGGGCCAAATTAATAGTACCCTTAACCGACGAGCACGTATGCATAGGTATATGGCTGTGAAGGAGGCGAGAGAGGTGTATCAGGATTGTGCCAAATGGATGTCCGTAGTCTCTGCCTAACCCTCTGGGCGACAGGCGTGAAGGTTTATGTATGTAATTTCCTATGATGTTTTAATATGTGTTGGTGAATCCCCTTGGGATTTGATGAATTTTTCAGATGCTTTTATGTATTTGCATTTAAAATTGGGACATATGAATTATTATAGCGCGACGCTATTTGTGGTGAATAAAGAAGCCTAGGCATTTTAATTTTACCACATGTGACCACATTTTACTCACCAGACTGCCTGAAAGTATAAAAGTGATACATGCAATATTTTTTTTATGGTCATATAGCTTAAAAATGCTACAACCTTAAAAATATCAAAAATTTTATTGCCTCTAAAGCAAGTAATAATGGCAATGGTATTGAATGTGAAAGAAAAGGAACAGGTTTGGTAATGGCTCAGTCATGATGGACTCGGTAAAAGCATCAATTAATCTTTAATAAATATGAGTATATTGCATGTCTATTAAATATCTATTTTTCAAGAATTTTACATTCCCCTACCATTTTCTTTCAAGCCTGGAGAGTTGTCTCGGCTGGTAGTGGGAAAATATTGATATTTTTTCAGATCTTTGTGGAAAATTAAAAAAAATTGAATTATAATCTAACAAAACTATAAGAAATACATAAACTATAAATTTTGCAAATATTTACAAAGTAATGCTAAGGTGTTGTAAAAACGATTGCTATTTTAGGATTCAACTTTGAAGTACTGTGTGTATTACTGTTTGCAAAAGCTGGCAGAGTACTGAAAGTACACAAATTCGAATTGTAAAAAAATATAAATGTTTCATTGAAAAAACATTTTTATTTCTCTCTTCCTAGATGTTGTCATGCCAAAATTTATACCGAAGTGCCAATTACTGGCCTTTAGGGACAATCAAGATGTTCATAGTACAGTCCCTATGTTTTGACAATGGGTATCTTTACACAGGGGGATTATGAAATCAACTCAATACTAACAGAATATATTTATATTTTATATATTAAAAGCTTTATACTTTATTGTTACTGATAATGACACTGAAGTAGAGACATTGTGGGTGGTAATACAATGCAAGACAAAATAGAATATCAGCTAGAGTAGGAATTGCACATTAGTTACAGTAACAATCTTTGGTGTACATATATTTGTTACAAAATGTTGCCATTTAGTGTACAGTTGCAATATTATTTAAATTGGAAAAATATTAAATCAATGACAACTATTAATTTAATATTGGAAGTAAAACTCAATTTTATTATTTATATAAAAATATAAATAAAAATACATGAAGTTGGTTTAGTATCCTGTGGATTCTACTGACCCCTTGGTCTAGTGGACGTAAACACAACTGCAAAACTCATCATGTGGTCCCGGGTTCAAATCCTGGGTCAGACCAAAATCAATAATTGGGTTATCTGACTAAAATTCACTTAAGTAGCCAGTAACAAAGCTCAGGAGTCAAGTACTTGACAGTATTTCACCCCCGTGCCTTAAAGCATACAAAGCTGTCTGATCTCTCAAAAATCATTCTGTTTTGATTGCTATATTGATCTATAAATGTTTTTTAGAATTATAGGACATTGTTTCTATTTATAATAATATTTAAAACTAGGTGTAGTAAAGTCGGAATAATAACTAAATTAAATAAGATCTTAAACAAAAAAATACAGATACTTAACTATCATTTCTCTTAACATTGTCAAAAATATGAAAGCACCTATCAAGTAATATCATCGACTGCAGGTTGAAGTGCACATACTGAGCCTTGGATTTTATTGATTGAATCTAATTTTCAATTTTACTAAAATATGTCTTAACTACCTGTCCCGTGCCCACTTTGCTGAGCGTCAAACATTTTAACTTGCAATTAAATTACCTTGTGTGGTTCTTAGTACTGAGTGTTCAGGATTTATTTTCGGACAAATATTGTTATTTCACATTAAAAATATTATTTATCACAATCAAATATAGCCTATGTCACTCAGGAATAATGTAACCTACATTAAAGAATTTTTAATTGTTCTGTAGTTCCAGATATTACTTTCTACAAACAAACTCACAAACTTACAAACTTTACCTCTTTATATTAAAACAAATAAATATAGATAAAACATGCAATTGGGTAAATTGATGCAACTACAAATCAATAACTACATGATATAATTTTAATTTGGTACATTTGTAGTGTCTTAAAAATAGGTTGGCCCTCTATTTCAATTTAAAATGCATTTATAGTATTTTAATTAAGAAGGAAAGCTCCATCTAGTGGAGCGGCCCTCCACTAGATGGAGTGACAACATAATAAGCCATGCAGGAAGTTGATGGATGCAGGTGGCTCAGGACCGTGATTTGTGGCAGGCCTATGTTCAGCAGTGGACTTGTTAAGGGCTGTGATAATGATGGTGACTACATAGTAAATATATGTAATAAAAATTATACTTACCCAATTTATTGATGGCTAGATTGAAATCAGTAATTAGGTAGGTGAATTCATCAAGCTGCTTCATACAATTTAGGAATCTCTCCTTCAGTTCTGCTGGTTCACAATTAAGTTGCTGAACAAAGCCATGTGCCTATAAATGAAATTGTATTCATGTAATGTCTCAACTTTGGGTCATGAAATATCATTATAATAATAGCTGTCATCATATGTGATAAAATTATTTTTTTTTACAACCGTCTCCAATATAAATTATTAACAATAACTCAATAACTACTGGTCAAACTTCATTAATATAAGCAGTACCAGCATTCAAATAAAAAAAGTGAAATACGTAAAAAATGTTGTGAAAATGAGGTAACACATAAAAATACAGTTGAATTGAGTACCCCCTCCTTTTTGAAGTCGGTTACTAAAAACTAAATAACCAGCGCTGGATTGGGCATTTTCCAATTTTAAAAGGAGTTGCTGTAATGATCATAATTGAAAATTGCATCATAGATTGTGTGCACCTCAGCTCACAGCTGAAGAGGCTTATAAGTTTAAATTTAAGATTAGATTTATAAATCTAACACTATGCGTTAAAATACTTGATCACGGAATCATAGGGCCTGGGCTTGATCAAGGAATCATTGGCCAGATGGCTATAATTAACCAACTTCCAGCCAAAACAGAACCAACTTTTATACAATACAAATTGTTGATTTTCTGGTCTGGTACTTTAGTAACAGTCAGTGGCTTAGCTATCATAGGGGCAGTGCACCAGGGCACCCAAGCTCAAAGGACCCTTTATTTATACTAGCTTTTGCCCGCGACTTTGTTCACCTGGTATTGACCAACATTGAAAATTATCCCACAGGATCCTTTTATTGAAATAAAAGTATCCTAAATCTTACTAAGGTCGAGCTCTATCCTTGTGCAATATTTCATCTGAATACATCAAGTTGCTTTAATGAAAGTGTAACAAACAAACAAACTTACACATTTACAACATTATTAGGAAGAACAATTAATATTATCTATTGCGTTACACATAATACTTAGTAGTAAGTAACGTTACTTTGTCTTGATGTAGGTGATAAGAAACTGAAGATGAAGTAGTATTGCTCCTTTAAAGTATATACTTTAGTTGAAACAGGGGCCCTAATATTATTTTTGTCCCGGGGCCCTTGGTAACAGTCCTATGTTTACAACATTGCTTAACATTACTTTAGCCTGGCTCCAATTTTCTACTATAGGCGATATATACAGTATGGGTAGGTTGTATTGAGAACGAACTTACAAAAATAATGGGCTTGGGCCATTAAAAAAATAGAAAGTAGGTAGCAAGACGTACCATCATGTTTAACTTTTTGATGTTGTCAATTGCGTGATCACATTTACTAGAGAAAACATTAATCCTTGCTTCCATCTCATTTCGTCTATGCAACGCTAAGGTGGCGAGATCCACGAAGCTCCTGAAACATGATAAAATACCCTCGAACCCATACGAAAATACAAGATAATATATCATTATAATTAAAAGAAAAATGGTTACATATTGAGTTTTTAATAAAGAACTTTAACTTGCAACTCTTCGAATTTATTTTAATTTGTTTCACGATGTTTATAGAAATTCAAATACTGAAAAGAAAAGAAATGAAAAATTAACCCAATCAAAACACTTCGCTTCACTGAAAGTTGGTTATAGATAAAGTAGATAAATAAATATATATATTTGTTACATACAACTCTTGAACATTGTGAATTTTGATCGATGGTTCTCTATGGATGGATTCTATATTAGATAAAATAATAGTCTATGGGACTGATAGTTGACATGTAGTTGACAAAGCTTAGTGATGCGGCAAAACCCCTGATAATTAATGGAAACCACACTTCATAATTATTCATAATAACAATACAAGTTACAATTATAGTACAAGTTTTAATATTGAATGTCAATCTAAACAACACAACACAAGAAAGTCTATTTATAACCCCAGCGAAAAGTTATACTATAGCTATTTAATTTTTTCTATAAGCTTTCGTGCTTATTCATAAAATTATCACCAAAAGTAAGTTAACTTTTCCGAGCGAATTTTCATTAAATAGAGAAATCATCACAAGTGTAAAATAGAATAACTTAGGTAGCTTAAAACTAATGCGATCTTTACGCATTATGTAATGATTAATGCCGTGTATTGACGATATAAGAAAGAAAATTCACTACCATATATCATTCCATGGGGGTCGTAAGAGGCTTAGAGATATACTGAAACTGGAGAAGGGCAGCAGCATCTTCTTATAACAGCTCAAAATAATAAAAAAAATTGGGGCTGCCAACACAAGTCACAAGGGTGGCAACTATGGCAAATATCACCCTTGATGGCAATTTATAGGGAAAGCTTATGTTTAGCATTGGACTTTTGATAGGCCGTACCTAACGATGATGGTGATGATTATATAATTATATTATGATTGTCAAATACACATGTAATGAAATTAGACATACATGTTTAGAATGAATGTTAAGTTTAATAGGGATATTGTTTTTTCATCATTTGCATATTTTTTTCTTACTCTTCCAATTCTTTTTAATCAAAAGTTAGATACAGTAATAACAAATTCCCGAAATATTTCTTCAAGAAAAGAAATGAATTTACTAAATTATTTTTACTTATATGCGTTCAGTAAAATTTAAACTAACAACCAACTAGTTTCCCACTGCCTAGAGGTTACCTAAGCACAAAGTTTTCCTCTCTTTTCAAGAAGTGTGAAAATATAATCGATTCCTATACTAAAATGGATTTTGTTGCGAAGGATGACATTACACATCACTAGTAAAACCATAAAAATCGTCCATAGGTTATCTAAATTTGTGTAAGCACAGATAAAGCGAATAACGCGATTATTAGTAATATGTACCTACCAATCTATTAAAATGTATTAAAAAAATTACATTTTTAGATAGCAATAGAATTATGTTAAATAAAATTTTATTACATAGCTATATATTGTGATAATTTATTTTATATAATCAATAGGGATAAATATGTAATGGGGTAAGATGAGTACTATCTACTCAACACTAGATGGCACTTGCCTTTTATTCCAAAACATTTTGTTGTGTTTATTTTCCGTCAGTGTTAGTACTTTTTAATATTTTGTTCTTCTATGTTATTCTACTATACTTCCATCGGCGCACTTCTAGCATATAAACGTACCGTTTAAAATATATTTTAATTTATAAATTAGACTTACAAAGTAAACGTAGTGATTTTTAAACTTGTCTTATTCTTTGCATGTAGGTAATACGTTGTTCTTCCATCCATCCATCCATTACAGCTTAAAGAAGTCCTCCCGTATAAATCGCCTCATAAGAGAAATTTGGGACGATATTGTTATCTTAAAGGAATTAATTATTAATGGATCTAAATACATTACAATACCTACATTTATGTAAATCCTTAAATACGAATGAATCCTATAGAAAAATCATAGGCGGTAATTCAACCTCGAGTCAGTTAAACAATGAACAAAAATACTTCATCAGCCTATCAAAAGTCCACTACTAAATATAGGATTCCCCATAGATTGTCTCAATGGGGGGATATTTTCCATATTTGCTATGCTTGGCAAGCGGGTTGGTAACCGCATAATTTTACGTCCACTTATATTTTGCCACCACAATTAGGTATGCTATACATAATATAAGGTCGGGGAAAGTGTTTTTTTTAACTTTTTATTTTTCTTTTTCTTAATGTCTTATATGTATTGTATTAAAACCAGCCAGATACAAACAGTACAACAAAATATATTTTTCTTCAATTTTATACCAACAGAATACGAAGAAACTTTTCCCCCGGCATGTTAAGAGGAGTATTACAAAAAAACGCGAAATTACAAGGTTTCCTCGTTGAAATTGTATGTTTATCATTCGTTGTTTGAAATATCAATTACTTGGTAAAAATAGTTCGTTTTCTCTACTACAATAAGCTCAAAGCGAATTTTAGATAACTTATTTATTTATTAGTAATAATAATAATCTTTCACCCGGTGCATGTTTAGGCAAACACTCTCGAAGACATGATTTGGGAGCTCTAATTTGTAGATTCTATTGTATATCGACCATCAAAAAAAATATTTTTATCTCCCAAATATCCTACACTTCATAATCATAGAATACATTTTCGTTATATGCAAATCACGCTAGGAAAAAAAAATGGACATAATTCAATTAACGACCGAAAAAGCTTCGATACAAGCCTCAATATTTCCAAAGTTCTACATCATTTTGAGGTAAAATTTATACCATAATAATGTCCTCCAGACCGAATTTCGGTCACGGCGGCCAGTCTCAACGGCAAAACTAGGACAGGATTATAGTGCCCAGGTGTATGTGCAAGCACGCACCTGTGCTTGCGCATACACTTGGGCACTCTATTCCCTCACTCTCATAGTCCCTTGCAACTTTAAGCCGACACGAACGGAGAGCGACCAACGACTTTACGTGCTTTCCGGACTTATCAATGAGTCCATGCTAATTGCGTTTATGTACTTAGAGTACTTAAAAAGAACAAAAACCAATTTATTTGTGCACTACGCTTTACGCTTCTACATTGTAAGTACACGTTGATGGTAAGTAGATGCTGTAGCCCAAAGACATCTACATCAATCCTCAATTATTACGAATCGAAATGCAGATGCTTGGTCATCACTGACGATTAAGATGTTATGCCTTTTTAAAAGTAGAGAAGGGTTCTCGTCATTGAGCATACGAATCACAAAGGAATTAACCTGCTGTTTAACTTTAGTACCTATTTTGCGATCGCGATACTTCCCCAATCGGGCAGAACCATTCGTGATGCAGCCATAATACCCTGCAGCGTTGCTTTACAATGTATAATATTAAAGTAAAATATGACCACCATTTATCGCAAGCCACGATTTTTGGCGTTTTCTATAGTAGCATCAAAGATATAGTACCTAATCACTTTACGTCTTTCTTACACTGCTACCATATGGTAAAGTTTACAATTTTGTCCATAGTTAATGGTTATTCTTGATTTGATTATTCTTCATTTAAGGATTAATATTTTTTCTAAAGATAAAGAATAAATGATAATTGTTGTAGAGTTATGCTGTCTTAGTGCTTTCAAATAAAGAGTTCGAACTCTAAGACATTAGTGCATTCAAATAAAGAGTAAAGGAACATACTTTCTGGATGAAATGTTTCATTAAGTGCCTACGTATTTCAACAAATAGATGACTCATTTTTGGTGTGTGTGAAGAGAATAAGATAAAGTAGATTAAGGATGATATTATTAAAATAAAGAAAAGTATTTTCGTTCGTATAATCACGGTTCTAATACTAAATATATCCTTCAATGTAGAATAATTTACATACATTGTTACCGAAGGATTCCGACGTGTTAATAACTTTTTGAACATCAATATTTTAACAAAATGCTTCTACACAAGTGTATTACTCAAATTAGTTCACCATAAAGTGAAGTGTTCCCTATGTAGTTGTAGTCATTAGTTGTGTAGTTACTAGTGATGCTACGTTTCAATTAAAAAAGGTCAGCAGGCTAAACAAAAGCCGCATAATAAATTCAGTATGACCCACACCGCTCGGTACTAATTGGGTTCTGAGGGTAGAGTAACAAATTAGTGCGAGTGAGATAGGATAACTGACGGTCGTGCGTTGCTATGGAAATAAAACGTCATTTATAGAACATTTAGCGAAAATAATACTGAATAAAACAAGCAAATCGCTACGAAACTTAAATATTTTATTCAAGTTGGTCCAGTTCAATTTCAATGCGGTTGATGAAATGAGTATATAACGCTTTTAGGTTTAAGGATTTTAATTATTAATCATTGAATTTTTTTCAATAATTTTAAATACCTATTTATCACAAAAAAATGTAGATATGTATCATTATGATACAAATATATTATGTAATTACTGACCTCTATATATATATATATATATATATATATATATATATATATATATATATATATATATATATATATATATATATATATATATATATATACACAAGTACACTATCTAATGTTGTGACACAAATATATGTAAAAATTTGATACAAATACTTGCATCATAACATGTCTCTTAAAACAGTATATTTTGACGAGTGGAAGAAGGCTCGAGTTATCCTAATTTATAAAAATGTAACTAAGTTTTTCCAAGATTTTCGAATCATTGATCTATCCCATTACCACGAATTATATTGTAATTAATTATAATGTACCCCATCTATACAATAGCCAGCATGGTTTTAGACCCGGTCGTTCGGTCGATAAAGGTATGTGCCCGATGATGGATGTTAGTTAGATGCAATTTACACAGATCTTAACAGTGCATTCGACACATCGTGTAGCTATCTACTTTTTTTATAGAATAGGGTAACAAACGAGCACACAGTCCACCTGATGGTAAGTCGTTGCTGCGGCCCATAGACATCTACATTTATCCTCAATAAAGAATCAAAATGCAGATGCGTCGTCACCCGTGAGGACTAAGATGGAATGCCTCTTTTCCAGTAAAATGGGTCACCGGTTCTCTACACTCACCATAGGAAACACAGCAGTGTCAAACTGCTATTATATGCTGGTATTCTGTGAG